AGAAGAGCTTGATAAAGCTAGCTCATGCCTAAAGACGGAGTTTGAAATGAAAGATTTTGGTAAAACCAAATATTGTCTCGGCCTGTAGATTGAGCATCTCCCTGAAGGAATATTTGTACACCAGTCAACCTACTTGAAGAAGGTTTTAGAAAATTTCTACATGGATAAATCTCATCCACTTAGCACACCAATGGTTGTCCGATCCCTTGAAGCGGATAAGGATCCATTTAGACCTAAAGAAGATACCGAAGAAAATTTAGGACCAGAAGTTCCTTACTTAAGCGCCATTGGCGCGTTACTTTATCTTGCAAATTGCACCAGGCCTGATATTGCATTTGCAGTAAATTTGCTAGCAAGGTTTAGTGCTTCTCCTACGAGGAGACACTGGAATGGTATTAAACATATTTTTAGGTATCTTCAAGGTTCACAAGATGGTTTACTTTATAAGAAAAATCAAGATATGACATTAGTGGGCTATTCAGATGCTGGTTATATGTCTGATCCCCATAATGCTAGATCACAGACTGGTTATGTTTTTCTTTGTGGTGGTACTGCAATCTCTTGGAAGTCGGTCAAGCAGTCCATGGTTACTACATCTTCAAACCATTCAGAAATAATTGCTTTATACGAGACTTCACGCGAATGTGTATGGTTAAGATCTTTAATTCAACATATTCATGGATCATGTGGAATTATAAATGATATAACCCCCACTGTCCTTTATGAGGACAATGCAGCTTGTGTTTTACAAATGAGTAGTGGGTATGTCAAAGGAAGCATGACAAAACATATTGCTCCAAAATTCTTTTACCCACACGAGCTCCAGAAGAGCGGTGAGATTATTGTACAAAAAGTGAGGTCTAGCGAGAACTTGACAGACCTATTCACCAAATCCCTTCCTACATCTACTTTTGAAAAATACATTTATGGTATTGGTATGCGTAAACTGGGAAGACTATTGTCTTCAGGGGAGGGAAAAACTCAATATAATCCCGAAGATTAGGTCCTGAAGACCAAATGTTGTACTCTTTTTTTTATTTAACTAAGTTTTCCCAATGGGTTTATTAGTTAGAGGTTTTTAACGAGGCAGCTAGTAAAACACATGAAATTTTATAAATCATGTACTCTTTTTCCCTTGGCTAATTTTTTTCCTGTCGGGTTTTTATTAGCAAGGTTTTTAATGAGGCGTGTAGTAATGTCCAAGGGGGAGTGTTATAAATATATTAATATGGACATTATTAATATATAATTGGGCCTGAAGTCCATTAGTTAGTAGAATTAGGTTTTAGGGTTTCTCCCTTTGTAAACTCTATAAAAGAGTGATTTTACCGATGAATAAGATGGGACTTTTCTGTTTCTCTTTTCTTGTTCTCTTTACTGCATATTTTACATATTTGGTTGATTGATGGATGTTTGGTGAATATTGAGGACTCCAATTTACAACACGTTTCAAATAAGAAACATATTAGAGGCAATTGTATAATTATTTTAGCACAAATAAGTATTGATGCAAATTTGTTGGCCGTTTCAAATTAGAAACATATTCTAATCAATTGTATAATTATTATAGCACAAATAAATATTAATGCAAATTTATTTTTTGAAACCTAAAAGTGCAATTATTTTTAATTAGTGTAGGATATATGTAAATGAGCTAATCTTAAACTACACCCAGCCTATTAAGAAACTGTATTCATGCCTTCGTAGATACTGATCCATGATCATGTCTTGCAATTATATAGGAATAAGTTTGGAACTGCAACACACACTATACCTCGTCTCTTCCCATTGGAAAGCTGACTGATCATTTTTTTTTTTGACATCCAAGTGCAAAATTGATCAAAACATTTATCCATTAATCTTACACAACACATAAGCATCTAGGGCCGCTACAACGGTAAACCATAATAAGACTAACTATTTACAAAACTCCGCAGCCCGTTTCAACCTGCAGCTCGACCCGCCCGGCCCTCTTCCCAAAGCCTCACCACATCAAGACTAATGCTCGAAAGACGGGTGATAAGAGTTTTCTCACTAGAAGCTATCAAAGTCGAGAGCGAGTATTCCTTTTGAGACAAGCCTTGCTCCTTAAGCCACTTGTGGAACTTGTACCTCGGCTTAATCCGTCCTTCCAAGTCATAACACAAGTATGCCGGGAAAGTATGTAAGGACTCGAGGGACAAGCCCATGTCGTTGCACAAATACTCAATCTTTTTCTCGAGGCTGTTTTCATGCTGGTTAAGAATTTCCGGCGTCAACTTCATCATCGTGCAAAGTTTCGAGTACTCAATCCCACAATTCAGGAGGCAATAGAATCACCTTAGCAGCTGGTCGCCACTGCCATTTAGTGAAACCAAAGCTTTAACTGTGTACCTATTCTCTCCAAACCCAATTCCTTGCAAAAACTCGAGCTTTTTAATTGCGTAAGCGTGAGTTTTCTTGGCTAGAATCTTCCTTATATCCTCTTCATACTGCCTATCCACATCCTCCGTGCAATTAGTGGAACAATTAGCCAATAAAGAGTGATTTCCGTATTTCATTCGCTGGAAAAACCACTTCCCAAGATCCATAGACCTCATCGCATTTGGCAAATTAGCCAATCGAGTTCTTCCAAAAACATGAGGATACTTTTGCCTGTGGCATTCTAGTTCCTTATCACTCAACCCCAATTGCTTCAAGAATCCCGAAATAGAAACAACCCCAGTTTCCAAATCAAAATAGAAAATTTCCGGCCTTGAGAGGAGAAAAACAGCATTTTGTTCAATCCGGACTTCCAATTTGCGGAAATACTCGATCTTGTTGATTAAGACATCCCTCGAGTGCTCTATAAACACGCTTTTGTTCCTTCCCATGAGATCACCCATTCTACCCATCTCACAACCTCGGTCGTAAAAAGACTTAATTTTTTCGCAAACAGCAACCACGGCATCTATGTCACCACCCTCCACACAGCTCAACAAATCATAATCCAAAAACAATACCTTTAAATCACTCAACAACCCATCCATTTTGTCATTATCGTATAACACCCGAGGAAAAGCCAAGCAAATGCTAATTACACTAACAGTGTTAAACCCATCAATATTTTTAATTGCATCTACCCTACTTTCCAAATACGAAGGGTTGGATTCTAGTACGGAAAATCCGTCCACACACAACAAACCCAGCTTGCCCCACGGGAAACCCATACCCGCCAGAGCACAGGCGGCGCCATAATGTTTGTAATCAGAGAGAAAAATCGTATTATGGGGCAAAACAGAACAAGCTTTTCCACTTTTTAAACCCGATGCTCTCGAGGAAAAAATCGAGCTCGTTAATCGGGTGATACCTGAGAAATCGCTGGAAGGAGCTAGCGATCGTCGACGCCGAGTAGGGGATTTTGGATTTGGAGACGATACTCGAGAGGGACCGAGGCGAGTTTCTGGCGATATTTTCAGCGTAGGGGAAGGGCAGAGAGCGGGTGGAGTGAAGGTAGTCCGTTATAGCCTTTTGCAATTCCTTAATGGCTTTCAACCTCTGCTTCCACGGGATCTTGGAGAAGCGTTTTTCGGTGGTGGTGGTGGAAAAGTGGAGAGTGGCGGAGCGGAATAGTGCGGTGGTCCGGCGGCGGAGCATTGGGGTTTCATGAGGGCTGGGTTCATGGATTGTTGGGGCAGAGTACAAATAGTTCGGCTTGTAAATGTATTTATGTTATTTTTGTTTTTCTGATTCTGATTTATTTTTTTATTTTTATTTTTATTTTATTTTTGCTTGGAGCAATTGAAATGTCAATTTTTTTTTATTTGTTATTTTTTATTATTTTTTCAAACTACAATTTCAAGTAACTCAATAACACGTCTTACAATGCGAGGCTTAAATAGGCACAACAATTACTCTAACTAGTTCCACACAAGCTTTGCAATAACAGGAGGATGCTTACAAGTCTCCTTGGAGACTATTTTGGCTAAAAATCTACAATCTTTACAAACTCAATATAAAAAACAAAGATACAAGAGTTGAAAGAAGTACACAACATATTGAGTTCCATGCCCACTCTGTCTAGTTGGTTCCAAGCCTCCGTTTGTCCATTGATCATCTCCATCATTTCTTGGCCGTCAACATGGCCAGGGGCGAAACTATGTTATGAGTTGGAGAGGCTTTGGCCCCTCCAAAAAAAACAAAATTAAATTAGGGGTGGAGGATTTTGCTGAAACTGAAAGATTTTTCTTTGAGCGTGCATGTTGGGTCCTCTCCGATTTCATGTAGTACATACATGGCCGGAGGGGCGCCACCGGTTTTGTCGTGAAATTTTTTTTAAAGGCAAATTGGGCCCTTCCCGAAACGGGATCCTGGTTTTAGGACACGGAGAACTATAACTGCAGCAGAATTTAATAATTTTTTTCATTTTTATTATATTTTGAGTTGGTTAATTAGCCGACTTGCGGTGTACCGACGGAACTCAAAAACTGAGTCGATCATTACCGAAAAATACTTTTATGAAAGTACGGGAAGCGGAGAGTGCGTTGGTGGCATCAATTTATGATTTTGAGGTCCCGACCATTTATTTTGAGTAGCCCGAAGTTGAGAGAAAAATGGCAGTGACAGTGATTTTATTGTCATTTTCATGTCTAGACTTCGGGTAACCGTCGGCCCTCGTTAGGCGTGTTGAAAATTAGCGGGAGTGCTTTTTTGAAAGCACGAGAACAGTAGAAGCCGTTCATAAAATTTATTTCACGTTTCGAAGTTTCGAGCATTTATTTTGAGAAGCTCAAAGTCGAGTGCGCATAATAGAAGAATAAAAAACCGTTTTGCGGGGTTCCGTAAGGTTGCGTGTGACCTCAGTTTAACGAGAATCGAGTTGGAGTGTGTAGACAATTCAAGCACGATTCCATACAGACAAATTTTGCATTTTTTGGAGTTCCGAGCATTTATTATGGGAGTTTGAATTTCTTCGTTAAATAGTATCAAAAGGAGCAAATTTGTCGAGGACGAGTTCGATCGTTCGAGGCTTCGTTTTCTCAATTTTTTCAGCTTTTCGTCTATTCGAAAGGAGGTATAATTCTTGATTATTATTATAATTGAGTCCGAGATTTTTATTAGTATATATTCGAGTATTTTTCGAGTTAAAACAATTCAGTTTAAGTATACCAGTTTAATTCCGAACTTAGTTTGATTTTTAGAAAAATCTCTAGAGTATTCCTTTATATCCTGCGAAAATTTTTTAGAACGTCCACAAAAGCCCTTTGAGCGCCCTTCCGATGTCGGAGTGAGGGTGGTACGCCGCGGGATGGCCAGAGTGGGGGTTGTGCGCAGTGGCAAATTGGGCCCTCCCCGAGATGACCGGCTGGTTTCGCCACTGAACATGGCAAGTGATGTACCATTCCTTCTTCTTTGCACACTTCAGTACTCAACCAATGCTTGCAATGTAGGCCTCCATTGAACACTGAAGTTTTTAGATGTATCCCAAAAATGCAAGTTCGCAGCTGCTGTGAAAGCTTTCCCTCCCATCCCTAATGTCCCATTCCCAACCCAACAATTGACAGCTACACCAATCCTACTCGCTCCCCCTCTCTTATCCCCCCTGTTAGACCCACAACCCTCAAGATTGTTCATGCTTAGTTCCTCCTCAGCATTAAAGGTAAGCCAATCATCTAAAGCTTTAGTTATAAGAATTCACAAAATTACAGATTTGCCCCAAGCTTTAGTTATAATTAACTACAACTTTTAAATTTATAAAATAGTTCCTAGAACATACCAATTTTTTAAAAAACGAGCTCCTACAATACGAAACCCTATATTAGCCTCGTCTTCACCCATCCGCCCCCATCACGCAACCTCCGACTGGCTGCGGATTCCAAGAACCACGTGAACTCGTCGGTGTCCTCCCTTTGTCGGTCAAACGACATTCCCAGGCAGCCGAAACGATTTCTGTAGCGAAGGACTTCTGGGGTCTGTAAGTCCGAGTGGCTACTCCTATTTTCACCAGCCTTTACTTTGATCTCCTGCCTTTCGACATATGGGGCAAACGTCAGCCATTGAGCAGAGAGATCAGAAATGAAGATCCCAATTTACTAATACTTTATTTATATATATTGAAAGAGGTTGACAAAATAATCTAAAATAGTAACTTTGACTTTGTAATTAAATATGCTGAATACTAATAAAGAAAATATAGTAGAAATTAATTAATATTTATACTAAAAAGTAAAAAATACATTATACCTAAAAATGTAAATCGTGCAATCCAGTAAATAGCACGTGTTTCTATAAAAATAAAGTGGTATCAATTTAGAAAATTATTTTGTGACAATATTACAATAAAAATCAGATTATTCATATTAGTTATGAGTCACTGCAATTTCTTATTCTTTTGGTAACCAACAATACAACATATTGTCATAAAAAAAAAATCACACTGTTATGAGATATCATACTAGACCCACCCACTTTTACCAGAACGACTTTAATGGATAAAAATGAATATATTGGAGAATTAATCTACACATGGGCTAGGACACGTGGCATGATGGTATACGTCATTTCCAACACGGGGTCTAAGGTACACTTCCTCTATAGAAGGGGGTTAATGTATCTCCAAACATCATCTCTCTACATTGATTATTACACTCTCATTTTGCATTCTGGAAATAGAGCGAGTGCTGACTTAGGCAATGGAGACCCGACGCTGGGATTGAGGTCGTCCGAGTTGAAGGAGCCTGGGTAAAGTCCATTTCACTACCATGACGCCGTCCGTGGAACCCGTTCAAAAAGACAAAAAAATCGATGATGACAAGCAGAGTGCCGACCAAAAAAATCTAAAAAATTGCCAGCAATCTCCTTCATCTCCACCAGCCGCGCCACCGCTGGCCAAAGTGCTCCGATAGAATTTCTTAACTCACCGGGTAGATCTCATCGAGGTGATTCAACCCTTAAAATTTCATGCGAAAATTCCACTGGGAAGGTAGTCAATTTTGCCTGTCAAACATTCTGGATCTAGGACATTTTGGTCAACATCTAGCATTCAAACCCATTTTCCCGGTGATCTGTGTGGCTATCAAAAATCAAGAACACCGTTGGGATCCTCTTGGCTAGCGACTCTACAGTACCTAACGTCATCGGCCGCCGTCGCCGGCCGCCGGTCTAAATCCTCCGATCAAAAAAATTTATACATCATCGTGAAACTCTTCTCGTGTTCGTTCTACTCCTAAAATTTCAAGATAAAATTCTACCGAGAGGACCGTCAATTTTGCTGGTCAATGTTTTGGATCTAAAAAATTCTTGATCAAATTTGGTCATATTCTCTAACGTTCCGCCGATTTCTAGTGAACCACTTTCAACCGAGGGCACCATGAAGTCTCCTCACTGAGGAGCACACACACTCAGTCACTTTCGCCAGATTCGGTGACGTTACTCGAATGACATTTCTTTTTCGGCACGCCGCAACTGCCATTCACTCATGCTAACACGAAAGACACTGATGCAGTGGCCCGTGCAAGCTTACGCTCCTCAAACCAGCAAGCAGACCCGCGTCCATGCCAATGAAGAGGCCCACATCCATGCCATTTGTGCGGATTCCCAACACTTGGCCCATCAAGGAGGCCCATAGAGGTGGCCCAACAGCTCCACTGTGCAGCCCGGGCCCAGCCCACGTGACCTGATTCTCTCACATGTGTCAACCCTGCGAAAGCTTGTGCCCCAACCCGTCTACAGCCCGCGCTCGGCCCACCTTCTGTCCTATTTCAGGCGCGCCCCACGCGAAGCCCGAATCCAGCCCCTCCTTCAGCCCGCAAGCGGCCCAACCCCCCACCAGGCCCGGCGAGCAATCCAAATGCCTCCAAACTGGCACATTATGCGCAGCTAGCTACAATGCGGCCCAGAAGCTGCCTGCTTTCTCCAAAGCAGCCTAATAAGCAAAACTAACCCTGGTTCGAGCCCAAGCAGAGTTCAGGACGATATAACGCGGACGACGAGGTCATTTGAGATAACATTCTCATGATGAAGGTATGACGTTAATTTAAATTTTGAGACCGAAGAATTTTTAAATTGGTGAAAATTGAGAAATTGTTTGATTTATTCGTTGAGAAAGTGTCTGGTTTATTCGTAGAGATATTATTTGATTTATCCGTGGAAAAGTTATTTGGTTTATTCGTAGTGAAATTATTTGATTTATCTGTGGAGAAATTATTTGGCTTTTTCGTGGAGAAATTAT